TGTGCCTTGTCACGTGCACCGCGGTTTGTATTTTACATGACATCTAAAGTCTGAGCCCATTTCGAAACTTCTTACGGCAAAATATACGTAATTCAGTTTGTTTCTTATCCACTACTCCATTCCATTAATTATATCTACGTGTAAGAGAAGATACGTATCGCTTACACTTCGAAATATCGCGACAAAACGCTTAAAAACCAGAATATTGGAAAATACAATCGTGGACATAAATGTTGACAATTTTTACGCACGCACGAAATTTCTAACATTCTTCGTCGATAAAACCTTACTCTTGCCCCCCCTTCCCCCAATACAATGTTGTGTGGCTTTCTTTTCATTGGTTGTCCATTCATTAACCCCTGCATGCAACATTGATGCGGGAGGGGAGGGAGGGAAGGGGAATATTTTCAGTTTATGCACACGATACAGTATTTTTAATGCTCCAGCGAAAAATTGTCAAGTATTTATGTCCACGATTGTAGCCTTGGTATCAATACTAGCCTTGGTATCAATACTAGCCTTGGTATCAATACTAGCCTTGGTATCAATACTAGCCTTGGTATCAATACTAGCCTTGGTATCAATACTAGCCTTGGTATCAATACTTTTTATCAATACTAGCCTTTGTATCAAAGCAAGACAGCATTCGAGATTGCAATGATTTATTCTCCACTCGCAGCCCAATGATCGATCCCAGATCTTACTCCTCTCTCCCTTAGGGGAGAGACCTGAGAACGAGCCTCATAACGGCTGCGAGAGGAGACTAGCAATGATAGATAACTGACAATAATCGCCATTAGCTGTGAACAAATCYGCCACTGGAGGCTCAACTCTTGGCAAAATCATTTCTATCTGAAGGGATAACTCCCTAAGTCGTATAATACCGATTATACTCATTCTGATGTAAGTCTTTGTTATCGATGTGCCAACCAGAAGACCATTGACTGTTAGAACAAAGCGACTTGTGAAAAGCCATTCTGATCATGGTTGGCACACTAACATATTTATAATATGGTTGAATAACATTTTGCAATTTGATTGGATTAAAGGAGTGGTATTTATCCTTAATAGTGGTATTTCAAATTGCACAATTTTATTCAACCATTTTATAATCAAATAATAGCATGTTTTGTACGTGGAATTTGGGATAAATACCACTTGTGATATTTCAAAATTTGTCACAAATTTTACTCTYTTCGCTCSTGAMATTTTGTTTTAAAACCATGCTATTATCTATACAAACATTCAGTATCGCCATTGAATTTACACGTTATTAAKGACCAATAAATTTATTGTTGTTTGTTGTTTGTTTTTAGCCCTCTGCAGTATATGGCAATTTGTCTAATCTACGCGTCAATCCTGATGCACCTCCAGCATTGCCTTCACACTTTCCTGGTAGACATGAGGACGTTAAGCCGGCACCTCCACCGTAAGTAGACTAGTATTACATTAAACAACCTACTAAGAGTCAGGGTTCGCGCTATGGAGTAATCTTCCAGCCTCTATGTTCAATAATMTGTCCTCACTGTCTGTGTCTGTTTTTAAAGAAAAATTCATCTGTTTAGATCACCTCCCTGTAAAGTAAATTTTGTTTATGATGGGCAGGCTGTATTTGGTAAATAGATAAATGAAATACTCCTTGAACCTCTTGAAATGTCCTGGAAATGAAAGCTCGTTTTCAAGGGCGCTTGAAAAGCACAAGAAAATAGAGAAAATCGCTAAAACTTCTGGAAAACTACTTGAATCTAATAAAATTGACAATGTGGCTATTTTTGGAAAATTGTCTCTGGAAATGTCCGCAAACATCAAACAATATCTTCAAAAACAGTCCTTGAAAATCCTTAAAAAGTCCTGGGATTTTTATTGAAAATGTAGCACGAACTCTGTAAAGTGGTTTTCACCGTGAAACAATTAGCAAAAGTCGGTTTGTGATTCAATTGAAGTAGTTCCTGCCGCTAGGACCTGGGTCAAACGCCGAACTTAATTCTGTCAAACTCTTTTTATGACAAATCTTTCAAGAGCTTTTAAAATGACCTAACTAATAACATGGTATGTATTCTTCAGGCCGCCTCATTAAAGTGGCTCACGTCAGGTACGTGTTTCTACATTCTTTTTTGTTTTGTTTTGTTTTGTTTTTATTGAATTTTCATTGTTTTGAACTATAAAAAACTTTCTCAAAAACATCATCTTTTTGCGGGATTAAACCCAAACAGTTTAGTCTTTCTACATACGTTAAACAAGTTTTGTGTAGACCAAACTAGTATTAAAACTTGTTTTTAGTATACACCTAATTGAAGAAACGTTGTCGGGTCCAAAAAGGTCAAATCATAGAAGCTAAGACCGAAAGGGTACTTGTGAAGACAAACAATTTGGCTAATTTCATAACAAACAGCTCTCCAGCATAAAAGACTATCATGTTGTTAATCTTACTAGCTCTTGATTTACGGTACACCGTACATGCAAATGTAATCCCAATTTAGTGGTACTCAAAATCCCTTTCGGTCTTAGCTTCTATGATGTGACCTTTTCGAACACAACTACGTTTTTTCAATTAGGTGTAAACAAGCACTGGACTRTTTGGGATTGATCCAACGGAAGACTTTTTTTTATTTTTCATTTTATTCATGCTTTGTCTTTTAGCTGAATCTAGATCACAACGTGACTATGATTTTGCAATTCAGAAAAGGTCAATTATTTCCAGTATATATTTTATTTCCTCAAGGAAGGCACTGTAGTTATACAAACTTTGAAGTAGTCGCCTAAAATGGCTTCATGACATTAAATTTGCCTTAAAGGGACACTGTCAATGGATGACATACGCAGTAACAGTCTCGCCTCTAACGGACTTTGAAAGTATTACCTTCGAGGTAAATCATTTTGTGGTGCTTTTGACACACTTTGGAATATTCTAGATCTGTTTACGTTTACGATCTGATTTATGTCGCGCCAACTTGGAGTCATAGTTTACTCGCGCATGTCATCCATTGACAGTGCCCTTTAAGGGCTACTAGTACGAAAATTGCAAAACATTAGAAAATACTTGAAAATCAAATAGACCTATCCATATGGGTCTAATAATCATGAAGCAACATATTTCAAGAAGATATTGATACAAATCCTTGATAATTTGAGCAAAAAATGTTGGAATAGATGGCGTCATTTACTCTCTTGAATCAAAATTTCTCTAATGTGGGATAATTCCAAAACAAATATTTTCCCGCAATTGTTTTTAATAAATATAATTTATTTATTTATTTATTTAGTAAATCAAGAGATATAGCTCTCCGGCCATCCCTTCTTAAGAATATTAGTCAAAGTGTTCTTAGTTATCAACCCCATGATTTCCTGGGTTTCAGTCTTAGTGTTACTTAGTCATATATTTGTGTTGCTTGAAGTTTTGAAATAAGGGCATTTTCATGCAAGTAGCACTTAAAGCAATGTAGGGACTGCACACCAGACAGCGGTTATGAAAGTATTTTTAAGTGACTGCTTCAAAGTTTGTATATGTAAGGCTTCYGTGACGTTATTTCATTAGCATAGTGTGAGATTGAGCCTTCATTATTCAAAGACTTARTACTGAAATGCAGGAATATTTCACTATTCAGTTATTTACTATATACACAGAATATAAGATCGAAGAGAATCAGAAATTATTATGTCAGGCGTCAGTGTATCACTGATTTCTCTTTATCTTGTTAGCATTCAGGGTTTCAAGTAAAGAAAGCACAGACGTACAGAAGAGTAATATACACTATAGCTATTTGAATAAGTGTATATTTTAATAGTATTGAGATTCATTTAATAGTTTCCTATCAATTTGAGACACCAATATTGTATGGTATTGACGTCTCAAATCTTATTCCCGAAAATTAACAACGCAGACGACACGCCAGGCCATTTTGAACGCTCGTAAAACGCATTTCAGTCGCCACCTTAAAATCACTAGGTCTGTCTTCTGCCATGGCGGTGAACTTTACTAGCTATTTTGATCGGCAGGAATAGCGGTCAAGATCACTGATATCAAACAAGTCAAATACTGGCGATCCAATACGCACACAATCATCGATTGAAATTCGCTTTTTCTGTATCTAGCTGACAAAATATCCTATCGTGTCTGTCGTCGACTTTAAAGTATATTTTCTCTTAGTGTTTAGTTAATAGGTAGGAAATGAAGCGTTTTGCTAATATTTAATGACAAATTTATTAAAATAAGAGGAAATTAGGTGTCTCTTACGACATGCGAAGTATCTTTTGAGTGCACGCTCCACTACTCCTCGACCTTAYGGTACATCGTATCGGTGTACAAGCAACTGTACCCGTATATAMGGTTAACTGCATTTAACACGGGGGAAATGGGTAAATTACCTGGTAGGTACTGGTAGACAATAAAAGTGTTACATTTGAGTAGCCATAGACGTATTTTGTAAAATGATATCACCCACCCGTAACAGTGCACCAAAACGGTGTACCTGAAGGTCTCTTCTGATTACGCTAAATAGCAGCGCTTGACGTTAGAACGTCGATGTTGAGCAACTCGCACTTTGTCCGTAATTTGTTAAAAGCGGTATACGTCTATTTCAAATAACGTTGTCAAGGAGAACGGCGATGTCGAACGGAGATTGTGCGACCGAAAGGGACTATGGTTACGTTGTTTGACATACAAAGTTCTCCTTATTGGGTCCGCCTTATGTGAAAATAAGCCACTAATATGGAGTCAGTGTTTATCAAAGACTATYTTACAATATGAAACAGTTATTATTTCATTATTTCGCATCATTTAGCAAATCCCATGACTTCCTTCGGCCATGCAATCTCCAAAAATYGTCATTCGCCATTTTATCGATAACCCCTTTTTTGAAATAGTTATATCAAGAATCATAGCAGATAACTAATTATAATCTGAGTATCGGGGTTCTCTGGTTRGGAGAGTGGAGAGAAAAAGCATTTTGAATGGACTTGTATTCRATCAAGTCAAAGTAATTACCATTGTGAGCTTAGAAAACAAAATGTTTCTTCTRAGTTTGGTGAGAGGATTTCAAGGCATTKCCTATGTCGCTGTGCGACTGCTTTAATCGAATATTCTCGCTCTTACAGCTCACGTCTTATTATTTTGTCGTGTCGAAATGGTAATTACTTTAAAGGCTGATTTACACGGCATGATTGTCTCGTGCGATTTGTAGTATACAACTTGAATCGCGCCGTGTAAATGCCCCTACGACTTGTCTACAACAGTCGTACGCAACCTACGACTTGTAGTAGGGTTTTGAACCACTGCTTAAAATCCTACGACTTGTCGTAGGAAAATCGTATACTACAAGTCGCGCGCGACAAATCGTACCGTGTACATCAGCCTTAAGGCCCAGGCTCAGCCGAGAACCTCTGCGGTAGCTGTTTTGTTTTGATCTCTTGTTGAAAGTTGCTCTCTGATTGGTTCAAAACAAATATGACKTATTAAGAGCGCGAGTCACGCAAAGGTTGATGGATGAATATGGGCTCTTGATTTAATTATCTATAGCCTGCGTAGCGGCCCACTGTGGACACTGTGGGATCCCTGTGGACAAGAAAAGAGCCGCTACACGGGCTAAAGTATCTGAACTGGGTTAGACTGGGATATTATTCGCCCGTTGCAGATGTTCCTCAGTTTAKCTCGATGTATGCTAGTTTAGCCCGACCCTTAGATGACTTCATCCAGTGTTTGTCAGTGATTTCGAAGGAATTATGTTCTCTTAAATAGTAACATAAAATGGATCAGCCATTGTTTTATATAAATATAAGAAATTGTAATAATAATAAATTCACATAATAATAGCTGCACCTGCTAATTCACATTTCTAAAAATAGTAATATGATGTAATATGA